GTTGGGTTTGAAAATCCGTTTATGAAAACACCAACATGACTTCGTTTCCATGCTGGAGTCAGATCAGTCAGGACAAGGCATGCATGCTTGGAGGCTGCATCTTGTTGAGTTTAATTAGTTCTAGCCCGGCGTCAGATCAATGGATATTGATAGTGCTTGCGCAGTCGAGCTCAATCTAAGTCATCCGGCCCCAACCCCTTAGTCGTTCCACGTTTAGAAATATCCGATGTGACGCATTACCAACTTGCACGGCAAAGCATCTCGGCAAGATGTCAGTGTAGACACGAACGCTGTGCATCGAGGATAATGCAATATGACAGAGAACAGGATCCATGCCCGAGGTTGTCATGAGTACACTTGCATTTATCACGCCAGACACTTTGCAACCAAGGCTTTTTTTTATTCAGCTCCATCCCCCATTCACGGAGATCCCTTACTCAAGAAGGGTATGCAATGTGGCTGGCAGCCAGCTTGCGCAGCCTCGAAAGCTGTAGCCGGTGTAATTTCCATTTGTGTGCCAACTTGTGTACTCTTCGTCATGACCGACACGTTCAGCGGTTTCGCTTGTGTCCGCAGCATTTGAGCATTGGGTGGTGCAAAGCACCGGGCATCCTGTAAGGACTTCACTTTGCCATGGGCCGCAAGGAGGGATGCTGTCAATACGACACGGCATGTAGCCCGCAGTTGATACCTTGAAATTACCCAGGCCAACACGTCACTCGCGACATGTTTTTCCCAAGAAAGCCTTTCAAGTAAATGCTCTCCGCTATCCTTTTAGAACGCTTTGCATGCTTTGGTATACATTCTTCCTTTGCTTTTCTTATCCCAGCCAGGAGGATGCGGCGCGAAAAGCTAAGGCAAAGGCAAAGACTGCTGCAGGCTCGAGAGAAAATCCCAGTTCGCCTTGCCCGCTGCACCGGTGTAGCCCCCCTGATGGTCCTGGCATACACCTTTTCGGCCTGGGGTCGGCATTTTGTGGGTTTTGGGTTGAAGACTTAGATCGCAGGGCCACGAAGTCTTTGCCTGTGAGGAAAAAAAGTCAATGACCAACTGGACAAGGCCAGCATTGGAGTTGGAGACCCTTTCACAGAAATGTGCTCTGATCGGTTGCTGCCTCCGCCATTACCCATGTTGCAAAGCTCCGAGCCTCCGAGCCAGGGCCGTTGAGTCGGCATGGAAAGGGAGAGCTGCATGCCACACCCTGGTGTTCAAAGCTGCTTACAAAGGTGGAGAAGGAAGCCATGCTTAAGGGAAACGTGAAGCGGGCAGCAGCAACTTGGTTTGAAAAAAAATCGAGAGCGGAGCCAGCTATTTCACTCATGCTCAGCGCGTTCGAAAGGAGAGCTTCTGTCAGTGACCAGCTAGAGATGGAGAGTGCGAAAACAGCTCCATCCAGCGATGCTGCATCGTAGACTTGGACACTGATAACTTAAGCTGTCAAGCACCCACAGGTCCTGGAGACTGCAGTGGTCACGGGGGTGCTGGCCTCGCAGCCTCAGGCCCGATATCCATTTGCGTAGCGCTGCGAGACGAGCTCATCAAAGCCTCCGACACACACACACACACACACACACGGTGCACATCCGAATCAATTTCCAAGCTCTGTCCGCAGGCAATGGACGTGAAGATCGAGCACCTGGGAATCCCAATCATCTTGAAGCGAGTGGAATGCATAAAGGCTGATCCCTAGTCCAGGTCCAGGATACGGGGGCATCAAGCGGACTGGCTAGTGCTGCTGGCCCGGGCCGAGGCAGTTCTCCATGGGTGTCTACGGGAAGGAGTTCATCAAGGCCGGTTGCTGCATGCTTGTATGCCCCATGTGCCGTGGTGAAAGATTTACATTTGTTGATGCTTAAAAGTTGGTTGCTGGTGCTTGCGTGACGGGAGGACACGAAGCTTGAGCTCAACTTTGGCCGCCGGTATGGTCTCATCGGAATGTGCCTCGGCAGTTTCAGGTTTATGTGTGGGGATGTATCGGCACTAGAGGATCCCAGACCCTGCCAAAGGAACGGATCTGGCAAGTCAACAATGCTTGCTGCCATCGCTGCACGCGAGATTCCGATTCCGGATCATATCGCCCCTTGGTCTTGATTCTTTCCGCTACGCCCTACTCATTGACAGAAGGCGGACGCGATCATTCGATGTTCAAACGTCCGGAGAACTGCAGTATGGTTACGAGAGGGCTTGTCCTGATAGTTCTGCATCATCGTGGTGGCAACTGCGGCAGTTTCGGCTTTGAATGGCTTGGTAAAAAGTGCAGTTCAAGCAGTTCGAGCTTCTTGTAGAAGCGCTTTCCAGTGCCCATGTCAGGACATCTGGTTCCTGGACAGCGAGGCCAAGCCAGAGGACACTACAGCCATCCAGGCCAGAGGTGCTTGAAGCACTCATGCCAATCTCTATTAGGCTTGTGACCGTTTTTGTTACCCGAGAGGCCGTGGTTAATGTCGTCGCTGATGAGCACAAGCGTTTGGAGGTGGCTTCCAACCTGCGCCCCCACATTCGAGCTTGAAATCTCGCTGTCCCTTTTGAGAGTCGATTTGAGTCGTTGGGGATCCCTTTGGCATGACATGTGTGCGGGTTTCCGTTCCGCTGTGTCTCAATCACTACAACGTGGTGGAAGCAGCACCACAGAATCGTGGGGCATGTCTGTATGTCAGGAAGAACTTCAGTGCTTCAGCCTGCTTTCTACCTTCGTTCTCGTCGCCAGTGCAAGCTGCGCCCCGTGCACGCCCAGGAGCTTTCCATCAAACTCCTGGAGGAGGATCCAGAAAAGAATGCTGACTACCTCCAGGTGGGTCTGGGAGCTTGTGTGAACTCAGCGGTGGGTGTGCAGTTTTGGTCGGGTAACTAAGCAGGCATTGGGAGGTCATGTGTGAAAGGTGGATCAGGGGTTCTAAGACCGGAGGCCTGACGGGCTTGGGAATTGAGGCGGAACATCTCTGAGTTCATGCATGATGGCTGCTGCCGCTGTTGCTGTAAAGGCCAGTAGTTGTTTTCAGTGTCAGTTTGTTTGGGATGGTGGTTTCAGGATGGGAGGCTGGATTAGCTTCCAACCTTTGCTCGGCTTGCACGTCTCAGTCCAGGGCGGTACTTTCAGGTCGTTGATAGGAGCTAGTGAATGATTCCGATGATGATGGCTGCTACTCATATGCCAGGTAGAAGTAGTGATATTATTATTATTAGTAGTAGCAGCAGAACCCCCTACCAACCACCTCTCCTAAACACTGCGAAGTTTAAGAGCACATCCTTTTTCGTCGGTATTTACAGTACTTTCGTGATGTTGTAGCCCAAACAAATACAAAACATGATGACGATGGGTTTAGGCGCCAGGTGGTTGCTAGGTACAGCTGCCACGACGAGGACGACTACAACGACGACGACCAAGGACTACGGCTACGACGACTGCGGCGACGATGCCGACGACGACTTTTACTATTTTACTACTACTTACTACTACTACTACTACTACTACTACTGCTGCTGCTGCTGCTGCTGCTGCTACTACTACTACTACTACTACTTCTGCAGCTGCTTCTTATACTACTAGTGTGACTAGTAGTACTACGACGACGAGGAGATCGACGACGACTCGTGCGATTTTTGCACGAGAGGCTTGGTCAAGTGGAACTTGCAAGGAAGATTTCCGACATTGTCCAGGTCATCGGAGACAAGTTAGACAAGATGGACCCTTCAACCTTCGAGCCAAGGCTGGAAGGGACTCTTGGTAGTTCGGTTGGCGGAGTCCCAGCAACCTCGGCAGGGCCTGCGAACTGCTCCACGGTCTGGGCTTCACCCCGCAGATGATGCAGAAGGCGCTTTGGGTCATGGGGCCTTTTGCAGTTCGGAGGTGACCTGAAGGAGTTGAAGGTGCGGGCAGAGGGGAGGACGGCATTGAGAAATATGCGTCTTGTCGCGTCGTTCGCAGGCCACCAAGGACATGTCTGGTGGGTGGCGCATGCGCGTAGCCCTGGCACAAGCGCTGTGCCTGTGATCGAATTGGTAGCAAGATGTTTCTGTGAGGTTTTGCAAGTTCAATTTTTGAAGCACATGGTTCTACAGCACAAAATATCGCACAGCTGACGCGACACTTGCATGAAGCAGCCCAGGTTCGTTGAGCCGCTGCTGCTGATCCTGGACGAGACCGGGCCTCGGATCGCTTAGATATCCTGGAGGATTCGGGAAGGTGTTTCTGCAATATCTGCGCTGCGAGCAAACGGACTTGTCAAGGAAAGGACTGCAATGTGTGTTTCTTAGGGTCTCTCATAAAAGTGCTGCGGGGCTTTAGCACATATGTCTGTGGCATGGAGTCCGCAAGAACTCATCTCGTCAAGTTGAAAACTCTCGCCGCCGTTTCGGTCGAATCGCTCCAAAGTTGGCTTGGCTCCGGCTCCATTGAAAGCAAAGAGTCCAATCTGCCGCAGGCCGACGAACCATTTGGACTTGGGAGCTTGCGTCTGGCTGGAGGCTGGGAGCAATGGTGCCCCTGCAGCTCAAAGTTTGTGAAAAGGGTCTCCTTCGTTCGAAAATTTCGCTTTGGGCTTTATCTTGCTGGTGTTCGTAAGGAGCACAGCACCTCGATGGTTAAGGGCTTTGTGCAGATTGTGTTGATGGTTGCAGGATCGGACTGGCTTTGGGCTGCATGTCGCCAAGTCTCGGCTCGAAGAATGCCGCGCCGCATAAATTACAGTAAATAGCCCAGCCGGAGTTTTGGGGGTGCACAGATTCTTGTGGAAGGAGTGTGAGGGCTTGAGGCAGACACATTCATCGTAGATGATGTTGCCGGCAGCAAGTTCTCCATCCCTCGCAACATTTGCGTCGACATCGCGAGCATGGACCCTGATACATCCATCGCTGCGGTGTGGTGGTGGAGCGGTCAGGATCTGCAGTCCCCGGTGTCGCGACCCTCGTGATCAGCCCACAAAGGTCAACAGATTCCTAACTGCGAGATTGGCGGTGCGGTTTGTGCGCGAGAGCGATAGATGTACCCGAAGCAACGCAGCTGCTGCGGCCAGCCACACCAGACATTTCCTTGCTGCATGTCGGGCAAGCGGGATAGAACCCGTGCAATGGGATCCTCCATCGTAGCACAAGGGGTTTCAAAATGGTCCGCTTCTCTCCATCGTCTACAGTGAAGAGCTGTCTATGTGGTGTCCATTGGCGGATGTTCTGCCCCTCCATCCCTTGCTATGTCAGCGACGAGCCCTCAACCTGCCTGATGGGATGGGCCGCAGCTCCTCTACGTCCGCCGAGGTCCTCTGAGCCTTTTGAGACGCTGGGAGCCCGTCATCGGCCCAGCGCCGGGGCCGCCAAACTGCAAAGACAACAGTTGCAGTGAATGCTCGACGAGCTCTCAGCCTCAGGCCTTTGGTCGAGGTCTACAAGGAGACAAGGATTGTCTAGGCGTCTTCTAACCAGCTGTCGCCCGTCTTGGATTTCACGCTGTTTTCTTCGGTCCTGGACTCTTGCTGCGACTCTTGCTCAACTACACCGAGGCAGATTGGCGCGGCGGTCTGTGCCATGGGAGTGTCTGGGGTTTGAGTCGTGCGTCAGAGGCCATGTTGCTGGCTCTGGATATGTGGAGTCAGATGAATGCCTGCACCGCTGTCTGCCGACAGTGGCAGGATGCCCTGAAGCCACACGGGATGAACTCAAGAAGCAAGTTATCCGGTGTAGTCCTATTTCAGTATGCACTCCCTTGTGTCCCCCCGAGCCTGAAGCAGATCTGCCGGCATGCGCTGCAGCTGCCACCGGAGCTTGGCAGCTTGGCGCATCCTGGCGGCGGTCATTGCCATCGCCACTCTCACTTCCCTGTGGCGCGAGCAGCATCTTGTAATGCAGAAGTTTTCCCAACCTGCCTTTAGGAGGTACGTTTGGCCTGCCCTGGTGTCGCGCATTGAGCTGGCAAGTGAGCTGCCGTCGGATGAAGATGGTTCTGTGGACGGACCAACAGCAGCGGTCCTTAACAGGTATGCAGGGATTTTCTCGTCTCTGTTGCAGCAAGTACTCAGAGACCTTCCCCTACCTTGGACAACTACTCCTGGGACAGCTGGGGGGAGTGGCCACCGATGGCGACAGGCACAGGTTTGCTTGCTGCAACTTGCTGGACGGCGTTGCGGAACACGAAGGCCCCGTTGGATTTTTGCGGTATGCGGACGGTGCGATCGAGCTTTGGTCCTCTGAAGGTGTGAAGCTGCTTCCCCATGCTGATAGCGCTGATAGCGTGCTGCAGACTCTGGCTTCAAGTGGGCTAAACCTAGTGTCGCGCTCCCATGGGTGGTTATGCCATCGTCTGGAGCCGCCCAGTGCCTGTGCCGAGGGCAAAAGGTGCCTCGGAGCTTCACAGGTTGCAGGCGCCAACAAGCTCGAGCTACGCGATGCAGCAGGCACCAAGATCGAACTTCAAGTTGAGGTGACCTTACCGCCTTTCTTCGCGACATCAGTTTGATGTCGCGAAAAGGCGGTAGGGTCCCTTCGCTCGTGTACAAACTTCTGCCCTTCTTTGCTGATGTCAGTGGCCAGCTCTCTGCAGCCTCTGCTGCAGCAGCTAGTTGGAGAGCTGGAGGCCCTTTCGTGACCGAAAGCCAGGAAAGCATGTGAAAAGCGCACAGCCTCTCCAGCAGAGTCTAGATTCTTGATGTCGTGCCGCTGCTGCTTTGCTCATGATGTTTTCGAATGCCCTTGTTCAAATTGTCCACGTCATTGGTGCCTGCATCGGGGAGTTCTCAATGCCTGAAGCATTTAAATAACCAAGATATGGTTGATGAACTTGCACACCTAGCCTATGCGGTAAAACTTTGCTCAGGAGTATTTGTCACGCTACCCCAACACGCTCCTCTTCACTTCGCACTCGGAGGACTCGAGAGTGATGCAGCTGGGAGCTACATGGTCATTTGATTGTACCTTAACCTGTGGAGCGAGGCAACCGAACATGAGTTGAAAGTTGGCAGCAGCTGTGCATGCAGGACTTCATGAACGGAGTCTGCACGAACATCATGCAGCTTACACAGAAAGGCCTGGTGGTTCAACACTCGACTGCCTGATGTAGACTAGAGTGTCACATACACATTGCATGACTGTGGGAGGTACGCTCGTGGTTTGGGGTGGCAACTATGATCAGCCGCATGCCTGCAAGACCAGCAAGTACAGCCCGGGAGCCTTGAAGTCAAAGCTTCTTTTGATGTGCCAGAGGGCCCACGTAGTCTTGCTGTCGGGGTTGCGGCAACGTAAATCAAGACCGCACAGACGACCGGCTTAGCAGACTGGATCTGTCAGGTACTTCAAGACTCGAACGGAAGTCGAGAAGAACCAATTGACGAAGTACAAGAAGGCGCATCCGGGGCTTCGGTTACTTCGGTTTTGCCAGCATAGCACGGGTCTCCGCCTCGATCGAGCCGTGCTACGAAGACGCTGGTGTTATCTGGTGCAGGAGCAGGATGACATCAAGCATCTCCAGGCCAGGAAAGTTCTGTGTCGTGGGTAAACAACAGACTTAAGTCCAATCTTCATGGCCCCTTGAGCTGTTTGCAGCCAATTCGGTGCAGGAGTTCATCCGCTCGTGCGGTACCTATGCCAACCTTCGCGTGCAGGCCTGGACCCCGGCATTGTGGAGCCCAGTGGAAGAAAGCACGCAGCCACCAGACCTCCTGCACTAGCTGAGAATGCGAGAAGGGCAGACACCACGATAGTAGCAATACAGTCGGACTCCCCGGCACTGGCAAGAGAAGATTTGCGTAGCGCAAAAGGATCTCGGCGACTTCAGGAGGGATGTGCCCATGTTCCAAAATCCAAGAGCAGAGTGCAGTCAGTAGCAAAAGGCCGAGTCAAAGCAAAAGATCATCGACAAGATGGTGGAGGCAGGGTTTTCTGAAACCCAAATCGGCCTCAGGCAGGAACGCAAGATGTGAATGGCTTAGTGCAGCACGGTCCGCAGATCAGGATGTGGACTGTCTGCACGGTGGTAATCACGAATGCAGCTTATGTGTCAATGATGCTGTTGTAGTAACGTAGCGTGATGCATGTCACACAAACCTTTGCAGGGAAGCAAGTCAGAGAGCTCGTCTCGTCATCAGGCTGGCCTGACCGAGAAGCCCATGCCGGATCCTACCTACGAGCCAGGGGCCTGGCCCCACGCAGCCCGAGACTGCTCAGCGCTGCACAGAAGATGTGGTGGTCTAGCACTGCGCTTGCCCAGGTTCAGCTTTCCGGACTCGGAGAAGATCTCCCCACCCGCTTCAGCCTTAGTCGCACGAGCGTTTCAAGTGTCGGTTGTGGCCTGTGCAAGAAAAGGTCATGGCCTTTGCCGGCGTATCCTTCTCCTATTCGGGGAAGAAAGAGGTCGGGAGTCGGAGGTTTCAAGATGGCAGAGTTCTCAGAGCTCCAGCTGCAGGACCACCTCTACGAGAAGCTGGAGCTCGGCGTGGACTTGGACTCACGCGTTGCCCTGGTCGGTGCGGGGTCTTAGCGGAGGGCTGGTTGGGGTTGCACTTGTGGGTCAGTGCATTTACGGGGCTCACAGTTACAAGTATGACGCTTCACTTCTGGAGCTAGCCCTCATCTGCATAGTTGCGGATCTGTTTGGCATGAATTCCTTCCAGTTCCACTCTTGCTATCATCCCTCGCTGCTCGTCCTCTCTATGAGTGAAGCTACGATTTTAGCAGCTCGGGTATAAGTCCGGAGCTGTCCTGTATGGCTTCATGTGCACGTTTTGGCACAAACTATCGGAACCCAAAACTTCCGCCTGCTATGTTTGTTGATTATGTGACATTATGTGCATGGTATGTGTCCGCATCGACGCAGTGCCGGTTGGCAGGGCGTGTATGTATGGTTTCTGGTGACTGGCAGTTATCCGGGCTAAGGACCCAATGGTGCAGGCAAGTCCACCTTGCTGAAGTAACTCAGCTGCAACTGGATGTGACGTTCACTGCCAGTGCCGCATTTTCCAGCTGAGGCTCATGCTTCAGCAGATCGAGCCCACGGAGGGTGAGGCGGAGAAGTTGCCTCGAAGTCTTTTGGCGGACACAAACGCTGAAACCGGATGGGGAGATGTCAGGTGAGCACGGTTACAACCTTCCTCGCTCCCCCGTTGCGGCTCAAATTTTGCAGGTGAAGCGCAGTGGCAAGCTGCGCATCGGTCACTACAACCAGCACAGTGAGGCTGCGTGTAGCCATACCTGAAATTCTGCCCGTTGACCATCGCCATCATCAGAACAAGGGGAGCCGGAAGACATGCCCAAACCGCAAGTGCAGCGTGAGTGCCCTGAAAGCCACGCGAAGCTTGGGAAGGCGGTCTTGGACCTCGAAGCCTCACCATTGCAGTTCCTGAAGGACCTGTACCCGGAGGCCAGGCACCTTTCAGATTGGTTTGGGTGGTTGTCAGGAGCGCGCTTTGTGCGACCCCTTCAGGCTTCGTGATTCCGGAGCCTTGAAGTCTTCCTGCGGCAGGTGTTGAGGAATACATTTCCAGATGTTATTTGTCTGCTAGTGTTGTGGGGTGCAAGACTGGGCTTCTCCTTGGTTCCGTTGCCGATGGGGAGCATGTGGCTGCAAGCAAACTAGCACAAGGATTTCCGTGCAGACTGCTGTTCTGGTCCTCAGGTCCCCTTGGAAAGTGTCTTCAATTTCTGCGTTGCAGTGTAACCACGGCGTCCCCTGTATTCAGGGCATCGTCACCACATCGGGCAAAAAGAAGATGGAAGATCCTGAGTGGCGAGGCCTGCAAGGGCCTAGAAAAGTCTTTCCGATGTCGATTCAAGACGGCGCCCCGAGTACAATATCCCCGGGATGAAAAGCGCAGAAGTAACCTCCAGTCGTACAGCATCTGTGCCGTTTGGCGGAGTGCGAGGCAAGCTGGGCTCCTTCGGCATCACTGGAGACTTCCAGTGCGGGACTCACCAAGCATTCAAGGAGCGAACGTTGGAGTCATGCTACCTTGCATGTGGCTCATGTTGACAAGCCGCCAGTCACCTGTGCCAACGGTCCATCAATGCCCATGCTGAACTTTCCGGCGCGTGAGTCCATTTCAGGAGTAGTGATCCGTCTCACCACCGTCTTCGGCTGGCCACTAAGGACCCGCAAAATGAAGACCATGTCGGATGCTCCGCTGCACTTGAGATGTCGTGGTACTCGAAGTTTGGGAGGCTCTGCTTTTTGTAATCATCGGAATGTGCCTTGAGGCCGTGATCTGATAGGAAATCAACCGTGCTGTCTGCTTTGTGGGACTATGGTTCCCGATGCCTAGAAGTTCTTCATGCCCCTTGCGCTGCTCTACATCCGAAGCTGTATTTAGCCATTCCGAAGTCGCAACCCTGAACTCCTGTGCTTCCGTCAGGACGGGTACCGGACGCGTGTCTGGGGCTTGGCTGTGACGAACAAGAGAGACAGATCAGTAGATTGAACTTCTTCTGGAGCCTTTGCTGTTTCCGGCATATTTGGAGACCCGTCCTGCTGCTTGGGCCCCGCACCCAAATATGAACTAATCACTTCATCCCATTGCCAGATGGTGATGCTGCTGATGGCGCTGGTGAATCCGCATGTCCTCCTCCTCGATGAGCCGACGAATCACTTGGACATGCAGCTCGGCTTCCCTTAGCCTAGGGGGTGCTTTTGCTTCCATCTCGTTCTTGGAGTCCCCGGCTGTAGCTGTACGCATCGTGCCAAGGCAGTGCATCGACGCTTTGGCAGGGGCCATCAACAAGTTCTCTGGTGGTGTAGTTCTGGCCACCTGGATGCACAGTCAGGGCTTCGGCATGTTGCAGTTGATAGGAACACTCCTTCGGCACAGTGGCACTCGTTCATCCAGGATCTAGGAGTACGGTTCACTGCAAGTGACGCAAGGTGAGCCACGACTTCCGGCTGATCTCGCAGGTGGCGAAAGAGATCTGGGTATGTGTCGGAAGCTCAGGGCCTGGGAGTACGTCTCCGTCTCTGGACTCTCGACCCTAAGCCATTCCTTGCGCAGGACAAGAAGACGGTGGCCAAGTGGGAGGGCGACATCCAGTCGTACAAGAAGCACCTGAAGAAGGAGGCCCGAGTGGACAGTGGGCTGGTGGTTCGGTAATGTAACTTGGAAGATGCCTTTGCGCCGCGAATGCGAGGTCATGAAGAAGTTCAAGGCCTGAGAGAGTCCACGTGCACCCTCATGAGGGCATAGGTCACACCTTTGAAGTGCGCCTGATGCTCTCTGACGGAAGTCGGGCTGTTGCTCCGACGTTGCCTCCATACCCCGGCCTAGCTGCCACCCACCGTTTAAATCCAGAACCTCACGTGGCTCAGCTTCTTCGAGATCGTTTCTCTCGGTGAGATCAGAGCAGCGCTGGTACACGTACTTTTCCATGCATGGCCTGCCGAAGTCTGATTCCAGACCGGGCATCTCTCTTGTGTGGAACCGTCTTTGAGACAACTGATGGTACAATTCTGATTCTAAGGAGCTCTCACCTCGAAATCTGTGCACGCTTCCACATGCTCGTCTTGGCTTTTCGGGCCGAGAGTTTTGCTGGACGCGGTCTGCCAAGCCAGAGCGAGTGATGGCCGAGGGCAGTGAAGCTAGCTGCCACTGTTCTGCCTCGGACCGTGGCGTCCTGAAAGGGCGACTTCGCTAAGTCCTCCAAAGCATCACAAAGGGAATGCACTTTGAGGAGCCGCCCTGTCTCACCCCTCGAGTCAGGGCACCCTGGCCTCAATGCCCAGCGCAGGGCGGGTGCTGGCGATGCAGCACCGGGCCATTTGCTCGACTTGGAGGGGTCGATGTTTCATTTCATTTCTAGTTCCGCGACTTTGGCCGTCCCTGGCCAGTTTTCCGTCCGGCACCTCGTATTTGGATTCATGACCGAGGTTTCTTGGGTGCGAGTGATAGGGGTGCCGTGCCAGAGATCAGTGCTACTCTGAGCCAAGTCTCATCCAACTCGTGTTAACGTCTTTCTGTTCTTGCGGTCTTGTGGAATCCACAGGAGCCACAATGAACGAGGAGAGTCCGACCCCACGCCTCCCCCTGCCTGTGAGAGCCATTCGTGCCAGGGCCGGGAAAGCAGCACACCTGGACAGCAAAACAAGGTGGAAAGTAGCAGCTGCTATCTACTGAGCCGAAAGGTCTGACCACCACGAACTGCCTGAGAGTTGCAGCGTTGCAGAGTAATTTGGCCAGCAGTCAACACGGCCGTTGGCCAATCGCTGTACCATCACGACCTGAGCCCTAAGCCGGCATGTTGCGCGTCATTGAGGTCGGCTCATTTCCTTCAGCCATTAAGCCCCTCCCCCGCACAAAGGAACACGATGTCGGCCCAGGAGCTGGCACTGATCCACGGCACAGGTTGCGTTGGGGCAGTGGTGAGCACATGCATCGCCTTGGCGCCCCTTCGGGAGATGCTCCGTGCCAAGGCAGTGGGAAGCTTGAACGGCTTTGACACGCGGCAGTTGCCACTTCTCTTCGTGAACTTCTACATTTGGGCCGTCTACGCCGTGCAAGTTGGAGACGTCTGGGTCTTCCTGGCCTCGAGTCCCGCAGCGGCCGTTTGCCTCTACAACATCACCAGCGCCATCACCTTGCTTTCGCACCTGCGCATAGATCATCCTCTCTTGAAGCTTCTAAGTCTTCGAAGCTAGAAACCCAAACCTAGTGAACACCCTGCTTCTTTGCCCCATGCAACCTAGGCAGGAGGAGGGTGCAGTTAGCCAGTTGTGCCAGCCAGTCGATGCTGGCTTCCTTCGTCGCAGTCCATCCCGAGTCTGGGTCGCCAGTGGATCAAGTTTTTGGTTTTGAGAGGTTGTTTTGAACACCGGAGACCCTGAACAGTCCCTGAAGCTTTGGATGTCAGGAGCCTGGCACGAGGCCAGCAAAGAACAGCGCAGCAGTATGCTGAGAAGGCTGGAGAGGCAGACGGTTGGAGGATTCCTTGCAATCTCTTTCATCAGCTGCTTCCTGGGGAAGTGGGAACTCGCTGGTTTGGAGGTTGTCAGCGAGAGTTTTCCTGTGTCAACGAGGGAAGAGGTCCTGGGGTGCGTGGGGTCCATGGCGGCATTTGTCGCCTATTCTCGGCCCGTTATGCGCCTCTACACCTATTGCTGTCGACGGGATGCCTCGCCGATCCTCCTGTCTCTGGTCTGCATGGTCTTGATTAGCAACACGTTGTGGACCGTCTATGGCATTAGCACGAACAACCCGTGGGTTTATGTCCCAAACGGTTCGGGAGCTTTGGTGTCTATCATGCAGATCTTTGTGCGCCTGGTCTTTCCCGGACGTCGCAGTCGGAGGGATCAGACAGATGGCTTGGAGAAGCCGGCCATGACAAAAGACCTGGAGGCTAACTCCACGAGTGTGCACCCAGATGATGGATCCCTGCGTCTCTCCTCCCGCCAGAGTTTGCATGAAGATTACTTGCTTTGGCAGCAGGACTACTTCAGATGGAAGTCTATGGCTGCGAACGTGTCGTCGACATCTTCTACGGCCTCAGGGGGCGAGGAGGATGCAGACGTAGGATACGTAGGCCTGGCGGAGAATGGTCAGCTGCTGCCCAACCAGACTATCGATAAACCTTCCGGAGTGCGGACAATGGAGCAGCCATGATTTGCCAGCTCAAGATGGAGGGTGAAGCCTTTATGAGCCTGCATGTAATTATCTTCATTAGGACCTTAGCTTTTTGCCCAAGGCCCGAGGCCAGTCGAGCCTGTGAAGTTGCAGCTGGAGAGTTGCCATGAGGAAATGTCGACCAAGTCATACTTGCGCCCAAGCTCACGGAAGAACCCATGGAAACTAACCTAATTTGCCAGGGCTTGGCACACCAGTGCCAGATCGTGGCAGTGGCGGCACATGCTGTTGCCGGAGGGTTCTCCGACTTGCTTGATGCCTGATGCCTCTCAACGATTGTGCAGTGCAAGAAGTTGCGAATTTTGCGGTGATCCAATCCATGCTACTTGGAGGTTCATGGGTAGTTCATACTGTTGCAAAGAAGTGGTGTTGCAAGATTGAACTGTGGTTATCGTGCTTATAACTGTCTTCACTATGTCCCGTGATCCTTCCAGTAAACAATGTTTAGCGAGTATGGCCAAGCCATGCGCGTTCTTTTGCTACCGACTGTATTCGAACACGCGATTCGTCGCAAAAAGGAGGTTTCGGTCGCGGAGAATTGTTGTGTTGGTTCTCGCTACACGACGACGACGACCACTACTACAACTGCTAGTAGCAGTAGCAGTAGCAGTAGCAGTAGCAGTAGCAGTAGCAGTAGCAGTAGCAGTAGCAGTAGCAGTAGCAGTAGCAGTAGGAGGAGTAGGGGAGCAGAAGCAGATGCTAGTCAACATACTTTGGGCCAATCGCGGCGTCGTCCTTCTTGAAGCGTATGGCCCCTAGGCGGCCGTAGCCCGGTTCCGAGGAGCTGGATGGAAACTCAGGGAGAGTAGTTCATGCGAGAGGAACCGGCCTATCGTCAAATGCAGCACCAAACGCGAATTAGTTGATGTCTTTACCTCTAGCGACATCTCCGCTAGGGTATTTAGGTTTTTCTTCGTGCTTCCAGCCTTGCTTTAAGACTACACAGCAGTTTTGCAGGAGTATGTGTCCCAGCCATGCCGCCGTCAAAGCTGGCAGATGCCGTTGCGGCGAGCCAGGGTGCAGAGAACCAAAACGGCCTTGTCGAGCGAATTACTTGGCCTAGGCCTCGGTGATTTCACCTGCCGTGCAGTGCTGCACAGTGGTGCGACATGACGAAACGTTTGAAGGCTAGAGGCGGCTAGAGATCACCGCTTCCTACAAGCCAAAGCAGCTAGGTGTGAGCACAACAAGCAGTTCATGAAACAGTGGATTCTTTCCATCGTTCAGCCATCAAGGTTAGAATGCTTCACGGACAAGGACAAACTGCGAAGGGCTGTTTTCAAAGTCGTCACCCCCTAGCAGCCGAAACTCCCGGTACGCCCTGCGGAGGAGCGCACGTCCGAGTTCTGTGAGGCTACGGACCCAGCAGGCAACCTCGAGTCCAACAGCTCGACAGGACATAAGGACAGCCTGAAAAACCGGCTGAGGGCCGAGGGCCCCGTCTGTCCGTCTGTGTGACAGGAGTACCAAGACAGACTGCGTGCCATTGCTCTCCGCAAGGTGGGGAGAGTTCAATCGGGGGAGGCCAGGGGTCCTTCCACACGCTTCCTGAGGAGGGCCTCGAGAAGGCAGAGATTGCCGAGGCCATTGGCCGTCCGACGAAGTTCGTGCAGACATGGTGGCGGAAAGAGCGGCCTGACCGAACATTCAGAGTGTGCAATGCGGTCGAGGGACGAGGGCTGAGCAAGCTGTTTCGCAACTGGCCTCGCCGCAGTCGCAGTAGCGGCGGAAGTCTCGCAGCAGCCATCGGTAACGGCAGCAGTTGCATCAGCTTTAGCGCTGGCTTCAGTGAGGCCAAAAGAAGTGCCGAAGCCCGCAGGGGTGCCTTGGCTGTGCACAGATGTCTTAGCCGTGGGTTTTTGGTTTAAGTCTGCTCGGCGCGAGGTTCACGATTACCTCAGAACGGACTTCTGGCGAGACATCGAAATTGTTCGTGGTTTCGGCAAAGGGCAGAGGATCTATGAGGATGCCTTGACAAGCATGGAGTGGGTCCAGCCCATGGCCGACGGTCGTGAGTTCAAGAATGGAGGTGGGTACAGGCTCAAGTATGACAAAGAGGGGCGCATGCGGCCGCAGGGCAATCAGCACGCGTCCGAGGCTGAGCAAAGCGCATGTTGCACAGAGCATTGATTGTGTCTGTTGCGCAGACTTGCCGAAGAAGGCCATGTCACGTGGTCTAGCTGCCTGCGAGGAAAGATGGCGTGATACCCGGCAAACTGCCAGAGCTTGACAAGCTGATGCAGAGGGTGATGGTCGAGCAGGGAATTGACGACCGCGTGCTGAAGAGGCGAGCTGAACTTGAGTGGAGGGTTCTTTTGCTGGCGCCGGGGAAGGGGGGCTCTTTGCAAAACCACTGCAACTGGATTTGGGACAATGCCCATGAGTAGCGGGAAGTTCCAGCACGGCCATCCGTGGCAAAGCCTTGTGTCCTCGCTAGGCCAGGCCTGTTGTGGTATCCGGACGGCCATGCAGACGCCATTGTGCATCGGCATGAGGCGCCCCCTTGCATAGAAATGGTGAGGTTGAGCGTCAAGTACTTGCCCACAATGCCATCAGGAGGTAATCACTGACCATATTTGCATCGGAAGCCCAGGTCGCTTGGAAATCACAAGTTGCCCCTCACTTCTGCAAGTACGGGTTTCGGTCAAGACTGCCACGGACACATCACCTTGAAGCGAATCCCTCCGTGCAGCGCAGGCAGTGTTGAGCTCTGTCCTTGACAGGCATGGACAGCATTGATGTCCTTCGGCAGTCCCCGCATTCTGACCATTGAGGCTCAGCTGAGTTTGTTTGTTTGGCAAGCAGTGGGCGAGACGCTCCCAGACACGCATGGGAATCAGGCAAGTTCAGAAAACATAGAGACCGAGCCAAGCAGTTCGGAAAACGCCTCGGGCGAAGCACAGGCCGTGGAGACTCGCACCCGTCACGTAGAAAATCTGTAGGCATGAACGAACGAAGATCAACCTCGAGAATCAGCTTTAGGAGCCCGGACATATCTAAGCAGAGAGAGTCGCGAGAACACTATAGAATACGTCCATGGTAGTTCGCAGAACTGGAGTACAGCTTCAGAAAGATGAGAAAATCTAGGGAGTCGGAAGATATGTCCCAACACATATATGTGCGTATATCTATATATATACATATATATATATATACACACTACATACAGTCCTACAGTATGGGCACCTGACCATGTGAATCATGTGAAGAAATCTGGAGGAGCATATCAATATATCCAGACACAGAGCAGGTCATGGAAAGCCGAAGACAATTGGAGACATCACGATGAAAGTCTACAGAACCCTAGAAAGTCACGAGGAACTCTGTAAAGCAGGCATCTTCAGAAGTCTCCAACACAAGTAAAAGATGCAAGTTCAGAAACCTTCCAAGTAACGGTAGAGAATCGAGGTTAGGTAATTGACCTGGCCCGTAGAACTCCTAGATAAACCGAGGTACATGTACAAGTCTCAGGACTTGTAAAGAAACCTGCAGACAGTTTAAAAAACAGTACAGAAAAAGACGGATCTCAGGACTTGTATGGAAACGTCTGGTGAATACCACCCCCAAAGACGCTTCCACTTCTCGGTCGAAGACACGAGCGAATAAGGGGAACAAGCCTTTGGACTCTGGACATCCTGAAAACTCTCAATCGCCTGAACCCCGGGCTGACGTGCACTTATGGCGAGAAGTCCGCCAAGCTGTGTTTTGAGATTTCGGCTTCAGATCTCAAGGTTCTCGTGTGCTTACTGATCGTTTCCTTGTTTTCCTGAATCTACCCTTGCTATTTCCTGACTTCACCGGCCATTTTCTTTTTCCGATTTTTTTAAACTTGTTTGGCGGTGCTTCCGATTTTGTTGAACATCTTGGTTTGAGTTTCTTTCCGCCTTGTGCCGAGTGAGCCCTGAAGCAAGCCCAGGACGGCCACCCGGTGCTCCTCCGTGACGGCGACCTCATCGTCTTCGGTACGCAGCGACACGGTGTGCCAAAGATGTGCCACGAAGGCGGGGCCCCGAATATCCAAACTGCGATGCAACTTTGGAGCTTCCTGGAGGATCCACTTTCGGCGATTACGGTGGTCGCATGTCCGTGGTGATGTTCTTCATGCCCACCGGCCAACAAGCCACAGGCATAGACGGCACAGACACGCGCTCTCTGTTTTACGGTCTGCAGCTGACCGCTTCCAGGCGCAGCACCGTGGAAGGCCATCCACGACTCTGGCCCATCGCGCAAGGCAGGGTTGAAACGGTCCCCACAGTAGGCCCTGAAAACCTCGTCTATTGGTCATTGGTTAAGAAAAGCACTGGGGGCACTGGAGGCAACTGCCATGCTCCGAGATGCTGATTTGGGCCACGATGCGCAGGCGATGTGCCGTCTCGATGGCATCTGTTTCCGCGATCGCTTAGCTTCAGATGTGGAGGAAAAAAGTCTTTCATTGTGCCAAAGCTTGAGAGTGTCTTCTGTCGTCTCGCAGGTTGCGGGCCTGCTGTCGGGAGAGCGGGCTTCGGAGATGCAGCAGCTCATGGACATCGGCTTTGATGCTCCGCAGGCAAGCAGTGGGGCTTAGAGTGCCTTGCCAGGGATTAAGTCAAGGAATTCTAGGGGCTCAGGGGAGTTGTGAAGCCGGATGCTGAAACCGTGGACCCCAAACACCTTCCGTAACGAAGAACGGGCATCCCAGCAGCCAGACCGGGAAGTTGTGAATGCCTATGAAGTCCATGGAATCTGGAGTTACCAGAGGATGCACACCTCAAGAACGCACAACACAGGAGGACCTTGGAAGGGAGAACCCAAACCTCCAGTAACTCCAGTACCAATGAATGCTCTCTACCTGGCCGTGAAGGCTGCGGCCGCGCTGAATGCCGCCGGCTTCGACGTAGCAGCGGCCGTGGAGATGCTCTTGAATCGCCTCCCGGTCGAAGCCAACCGGCCTCTGATTTGTTTCGGGATCCTGGCCAACCCTGCGCAGTAAAACTGCGGCT